GCTCTCTGTCTCTCATTCTCTCTCTCAAATAAATAAATAAAATCTTTAAAAAAAAAAAAAGAAAACAATGGATCGTGGATCACTACATCAAAAACTAATGATGTATTGTACGGTGACTAACATAACATAATAAAATTAAAAACTAAAAAAAAAAAACAACTAATGATGTGTTGTATGGTGACTAACATAACATAATAAAATAAAATAAAATTTTTAAAAAGGCCATTACTTTCAGGAAGAGGAGACACAACTGGCTTTTGTAACATAGAGAAGCAGGCAGAGACTTAGACACAATTGGAAGGCACAGGAATTTATCCCAAATGAAAGAACAAGATAAAGCCATAGCCAGAGATCTAAGTGAAACAGACATAAGAAACATGCCTGAGGGAAAATTTAAAGCAATGATCATAAGGATACTTACTGAGCTTGAGAAAAGAATAAAAGACATCAGTGAGATCCCTACAGCAGAGATAAAAGAGTTAAAAAAAGAAACAACCAGAGATGAAGAATACAATAAATGAAATTAGAAACATGCTTGATGCAATGAACAGCAGGCTGGAAGAAGCAGAGGAATAATTAATGACCCAGACAACAAAATAATGGAAAGCAATGAAGCTGAAGAGAGAAAGAAGAATTATGCCACATTGAGAATAGACTTAGGGAACTCAGGGACTGAGTTATTAAGTGTAATAACATCCATATTATAGGAGTCCCAGAAGAAGAGGGAGAAAAGAGGACAGAAAATTTATTTGAAAAGAAAATAGCTAAGAGAGTTTCCAGGACAAACAAAAACTAAAGGAATTTGTGAACATTAAACCAGCCCTGCAAGAATTATCAAAGGGTATCCCTTGAGTGAACAGAGAGTCCAAAAGTAACAAAAACCAGAAAGGAACAGAGACAATCTACAGGAACAGCAACTTTACAGGTAATACAATGGCACTAACTTCAGATCTTTCAATACTTACTCTGAATGCAAATGGACTAAATTCTCCAATTAAAAGACACAGGGTATCAGGAAAGATAAAAACACAAGACCTATCAATATGCTGCTTACAAGACACTCATTTTAGACCCAAAGACACCTCCAGATTGAAAGTGAGGGAGTGGAGGGGCGCCTGGGTGGCTCAGTCGGATAAGTGTCTGACTTCGACTCAGGTCATGATCCCAGGGTCCTGGGATGGAGCCCCAGTTAGGCTCCCTGCTTGGCGGGAACCTGCTTCTCCCTCTCCTCTCCGCTTGTGCTCTCTCTTGCTATCTCTGTCACTATCTGTCTCTCTCTCAAATAAATAAATAAAATCTTAAAAAAAAAAAGTGAGGGAGTGGGGAACAATTCATCATGTCAATGGACATCCAAAGAAAGCTGAAGTAGCCATCCTTGTATCAGACAAACTAGATTTTAAACCAAAGACTGTAATAAGAGATGAAGAAGGACATTCTATCATAATAAAAGGGCCTATCCAACAAGAAGATCTAGCAATTGTAAATATTTATGCCCCCAACATGGGAGCAGCCAATTATATAAACCAATTAATGACAAAATTAAAGAAACACATTGATAATAATACATTAATGGTAGGGGACTTTAACACCTCACTCACAGCATGGACAGATCATCTACGCAAAAGATCAGCAAGGAAACAAGGGCTCTGAATGACACACTGGACCAGATGGACTTCACAGTTATATTCAGAGGATTTCTTTTTTTTTTTAAAGATTTTACTGATTTATTTGACAGAGAGAGACACAGCGAGAGAGGGAACACAAGCAGGGGGAGTGGGAGAGGGAGAAGGAGAAGCAGGCTTCCCGCCGAACAGGGAGCCTGATGCGGGGCTCAATCCCAGGACCCTGGGATCATGACCTGAGCCGAAGGCAGACGCTTAACCGACTGAGCCACCCAGGCGCCCCTATTCAGAGGATTTCATCCCAAAGCAGCAGGATGCACTTTCTTCTCGAGTGCACATGGAACATTCTCCAGAAGAGATCACATACTGGATCACAAATCAGGTTTCAACCAATACCAAAGGATTGAGATTATTCCATGCATATTTTCAGACCACAATGCTTTAAAACTTGAAGTCAACTACAAGGAAAGACCACAAATACATGGAGGTTAAAGAACATCCTACTAAAGAATGAGTGGGTCAACTAGGAAATTAAAGAATTAAAAAATACATGGAAACAAATAAAAATGAAAAGACGACAGTTGTTCAGAACCTTTGGGATGCAGCAAAGATGGTCCTAAGAGGGAAGTATATAGCAACACAGGCCTTCCTCAAGAAACAAGAAAAGTATCAAATACACAACCAACCTTACATCTAAAGGAGCTGGAGAAAAAACAGCAAATAAAGCCTAAATCCAGCAGGAGAAGAGAATTAATAAAGATGAGAGCAGAAATCAATGACATAGAAATAAAAAAAAAGGGGGGGGTGCCTGGGTGGCTCAGTCGTTAAGCATCTGCTTTCGGCTCAGGTCATGATCCCAGGGTCCTGGGATCAAGCCCCGCATTGGGCTCCCTGCTCAGCAGAGAGCCTCCTTCTCCCTCTCCCACTCCCCCTGCTTGTGTTCCCTCTCTTGCTGTTCTCTCTCTCGGTCAAATAAATAAAATATTTTTTAAAAAAAGAAAGAAAAAAACCAGTAGAACAGATCAATGAAACTAGGAGCTGGTTCTCAGAATTAAGATCGATAAACCCCTAGCCAGACTTATCAAAAAGAAAAGAGAAAGGCCCCAAATTAATAAAATCATGAATGAAAGAGAAGAGATCACAACCAACCCCAAAGAAATACAAACAATTATAAGAACATATTATGAGCAACAATATGCCAACACATTAGGCAATCTGGATGAAATGGATGCATTCCTAGAAACATATAAACTACCAAAACTGAACCAGGAAGAAATAGAAAACCTGAACAGATCCATAACCAGCATGGAAACTGACACAGTAATCAAAAATCTCCCCTAAAAACAAGAATCCAGAGCTGGATGGCTTCCCAGGGGAATTCTACCAAACATTTAAAGAACATGATGAGATGAGCACTGGGTGTTATACTGAACTGATGAATCATTGAACATTATATCAAAAAAACAATATTTTGGCTAATTGAATTTAAATTAAAAAATAAAATAAATAAAGAAGAACTAATACCTATTTTTCTGAAGTTGGTTCCAAAAATAGAAACGGAAGGAAAACTTCCAAACTCATTCTTTGAGGCCAGCATTACACTTATCCCCAAACCAGACAAACCAGACAAAGACCCCATCAAAAAGGAGAATTCAGACCCATGTCCCAGATGAACATGGATGCAAAAATTCTCACCAAAATACTAGCCAATAGGATCCAACAGTACATTCAAAGGATTATTCGCCAGGACCAAGTGGGATTTATTCCTCGGCTGCAAGGTTCATAACAATATCCATAAATCAGTCAATGTGATATACCACATTAATAAGAGAAAGGACAAGAACCATATGATTCTCTCAGATGCAGAAAAAGCATTTGACAAAATACAACATCCCTTCTTGTTAAAAACTTTCCACCATGTAGGGATAGAGAGAACATACCTCAAGATCATAAAAGACATACGAAAACCCACAGAAAGTATCATCCTCAATGGAGAAAAATTGAGAGCTTTTCCCCCTAAGCTCATGAACAGGACAGGGACAGAACATTCTCACCACTGTTTTTCTACATAGTACTAGAAGTCCTAGCCTCAGCAATCTGGCAACAAAAAGAAATAAAAGGCATCCAAATAGGCAAAGAAGTCAAACTCTCACACTTCACAGATGACATGATACTCTATGTGGAAAACCCAAAAGACTCCACCAAAAAACTGCTAGAACTGATATGGGAATTCAGCAAAGTGGCAGGATATAAAATCAATGCACAGAAATCAGCTGCATTTCTATACAGTAACAATGAGGCAGAAGAAAGAGGAATCAAGGAATCGATCCTATTTACAATTGCACCAAAAACCGTAAGATACCTAGGAATAAACCTAACCAAAGAGGTTATTATATTAATATTCCATTATATTATTATTCCAAAATATAATGGAATATTACTGGACCATAAAAAAAGTGAATTCTTGCCATTTGCAACAACATGGATGGAGCGAGGAGTATTTTGCTAAGCGAAAATGAGTCAGAGAAAGACAATACCATAGGATTGCACTCATTTATGGAATTTAAAAAACAAAACAAATGAGCTTAGGGGTAAAAAGAAAGAGAGGGGCCAACTAAGAAACAGATTCTTAACTACAGAGAACAAACTGCTGGTTACTAGAGGGGAGGTGGGTGGGGATGGGTGAAATAGGTGATGGGGACTAAGGAGTGCACTTGTGATGAGCACCAGGTGATGTATGGAAGTGCTGAATCACTATATTGTACACCTGAAACTAATATTACACTGTATGTTAACTAACTGGAATTGAAATAAAAAACTTTAAAAAAAGAATTTAGGGGCAAGAAAAAAACCTTTCTAAAAAATAATTTAATTAAATTAATAAGTAAATAAACCTTTTTTAAAAAAGAATGTGTGATAAAGTACATACATGTGTGTGTATATATATATATACACACACGTATGCTTTCAGCTGCTTTCGGCTCAGGTCATGATCCCAGGGTCCTGGGATCAAGCCCCGCATTGGGCTCCCTGCTCAGCAGAGAGCCTCCTCCCTCTCCCACTCCCCCTGAGCCCCACCCTAGACCAACTGAAACCAAATATCTGGTGGTGGAAACAGGCATTCATATTTCTTTTTAAACTTCTTAGGTGATTATAGTGTGTAGTCTAGATTGTTCAGAACAAGATCTTTTCTCTGGCAACTGTTCAAAGAAGACTTTTAAAAGTACAAGTCACTGTGAAAAACTGAATATATGAAAACGTACAATAATATACATGTTAGTCTTACCTCTTCAATATCTTGGTGAAGCCCACATTCATAATTAATACCTGAATCAGGGAGTTAAGGCAGCAGGTCTGTCCAATGTTGTGTAAACCAACTGGGCCTATACAGGAAAGAGAGAAAAAAAATACTGAGGACAAGGGCAAGCTAAGGGACTCAATAAAAATCAAATGTTTTTCTAAGATCTACTAAGGACATGAAATCCTGCAAAATACTCTCAGAGGTACAAAGACTTCACTAAAGAGCTTGCAAAAAATTGGGAGAGGAGAAATAAAGCATGCGACTCTGAAAAGCGAAATAGCAGTAAATTTTTTTTTTTTTAAAGCAAGGCAGACTGCCACCTGCAGTGCCTCAGTTGGACGTGTCTGGAGTCTCAGAAGCTTGACTACCCTACATTCTCCTACAAATGGACCTGGAGAGCTTGTTTGGGGGTCCTAGCAGGGGAGCGCAGCTACTCGTATACCCTTGATGGAATAACCATCCTCCCCTATCAGGGAAGGTCGTCCTCTTGGACCAAGCGCGCAGCTTCGGGCGGGGCGCCCGTGGAGTGGTGAGGGAGGAAGGGGACACCTGCCTAGCCAGCCAGATCAACCGCATCAACCCTGGCAATCAACGGGGTGACAGATGTCGCAGCCAGACTGCCCTCACATCCAGCAGTAAAACTTTTAATAGTTCATTAGGAAAAGAGCTGTCACAAGAAAGAGTATTATGCAATGTCAGATGAGTAGTACAAGCAATTGTTATAAGAGCAAAAACAAAGAAACATTACAGAAAGCATAACTGGGAGCATTCCTCCCACTTAAGTTGTTCCCTACAGAGTTGAGTCAGAATGGACATCCATGGAGCTCAGAGAGAAAAGTAATTTCCTAGCTAGTCTATTTCAGACTCCAGTGGAAAGGCCCCTGCCCAGTCCCCACCATGTGGCTGAAGGAGATCAGGAAAAAAAAAAAAAAGCTCTGGGGGAGATTCACTAATCTAAGCTCACCTCCAGAGGCTGGAGGCCAAAAGTAACTTACGAAGATGTGAGAAAGCCAAAAGACAGCATTTCTCTGATGTACTAGCAACCAATCTCTCCTTTCCCAACTTAACTTGGGCTCAGCTGACCCCACAAGGGGAGTACTTTAAGAGGGAAGAAATACCACTAATCTCAGAGTTCCTGGGTAAAAGACTTTTGTGTATATGAAACAGGGCATTAAGATGAAAAAAAAAATCCAGGGACAGCAAGTAATCACAGATTTCGGCTCCTGAATCAGCAGAAGCACCTTGCCTCTAGGACATCCTAGCACACAGATGTAACAGTAAAGACAGAAACTAATGCTGGCTGCTGCTAGAAGCCAAGCATTAATTTAAAGCACTTTCCACAGATTATCTCACTTACCCCTCCCAACAATCCTATGTGTTCAGTACTATGATTATTCCCATTTTACAGATGCAGAAATGGAGGCATAAGAAATCAGGAGTCATTAACCACAAAGCTCTGCTGTTTCAGAGTACAGTGGGTGAGCAAAGCATTTCTATGCAGCAAAAAGAGAAAGATGTGAGGGATCTAATGACCATGAGGACAGTCCCAGGCACTGAGGCGCTCCTTTAGCTGCTCCTTCTTCTTCATGTTGTTCTCTTCCTTCTTCTCAATGGGTTCTGCTGAGAAATGCTGAGACAGCCAGGATGCACTGGAAAATTTCCTCAGGGACCCCAACACCTGACTCATTAGAGATCATTCCAAAATCCCTAGGCCACTGGCTGCCCGGCCTGTCTTCAGGACTGCACACTTCCAGGAAGAGCTCATATGAGCCAGCTTTGGTGGGAGTTCTGTGAAAACACACCACAGGTAGGTAAGGATAAGGGAAGAGGGAAAGCATATTCATGTGAGTTCTGATTCCAAAGAGACAAGTCTTATGTGGATGGAGCTAGAGTGTATTATGCTAAGTGAAATAAATCAGAGAAAGACAAATACCATATGATCTCACTTATACGTGGAATTTAAGAAACAAAACAGATGAACATAGGGGAAGGGAAGGAAAAATAAAATAAGATAAAAACAGAGATGGAGGGGCGCCAGGGTGGCTCAGTCGGTTGGGCGTCTGCTTTTGGCTCAGGCCATGATCCCAGGGTCCTGGGATCTGACCCCATATCTGGCTCCCGGCTCGGTGGTGAGCCTGCTTCTTCCTCTTCCTCCACAGCTCCCCCTGATTGTTCTCTCTCTCTCTGTGTCAAATAAATAAATAAAATCTTTTAAAAAACAAAAACAGAGAGGCAAACCATAAGAGACTCTTAACTATAGTAAACAAACAGGGTTGCTGGAGGGGAGGTGGGTGGGGAGATGGGGTAACTGGATGATGGACATTAAGGAGGGCACTTGATGTAATGAGCACTGGGTATTATATGCAACTGATGAATCACTACATTCTACCCTCAAACTAATAATATACTATATGTTAACTAAATGGAATTTAAATTAAAAATTAAGGAAGGAAGGAAGGGAGGGAGGGAGGGAGGACTTGTGATGAGCACTGGGTTATATGTAAGTGATAAATCACTGAATTCTATTCCAGAAACCAATACTGCACTGTATGTTTTTTTTAAAGAGAGAGAGTGAGAGAGAGCACAAGAGTGGGGTGAGGAATAGAGGGAGAAGCAGGCCCCCCGCTGAGCAGGGAGCCTGATGTGGGGCTCGATCCCAGGACTCTGGGATCATGACCTGAGCTGAAAGTAGACACTTAACCGCCTGAGCCACCCAGGTGCCCCTACTGCACTGTATGTTAACTAACAAAATTAAAAACAAAAACAAAAACAGACAAGTCTTAGACTGAAAGAAATGTTTGGCTTATAAAGCTCTAGGGCTAGAAATGACAACTAGGCTAGACACTCCTTACCTTTGTCCCACGTTTCCATTTTTTTCTTCTTCAGAGCAGACTGCCATAAAACTCTTTCCTGCAGGTTCTCTACTCTGGCAAATAGCACAACAGGCACCAAGGGGGTCCAGACCAGAAACTTGGGTGTCTCCTTTCTCCTCACTCCCAGGCCCAAACAATCATCGAGGACTGTCAATTCTACCACCTAAAGACTGCTCACAAGCACTCTCCTTGCTATCCATACCCTTGACTTCCTGGGAAGCCTGCCCTGGCTCCTCAGGTGAGCCTACATGTTGTCTATGTGTCCATGCACCTTGTACTCAGAGCTAGTCAAATAACTGGTTTGCTATATTCTGTTGTGGGAAATAGCTCTCTCTCCACTTGTACAGGATAGTGATGCACCGCACACACTCTTCCTGCAGGACCAACACGATTTCTCAGGCTGAAGGGAGCACTAGTTGACAGCTCCCCACTGAGTCCCTGTCCAGTAATTTACCCTTGAAAAGAAATTTATCCCTATCCAATGACTGGACAATAGCGGGTATAAAAATCTTACCACCTTGCCTTAAGGTGAAATAGCTCTGAAGGGTCAGCAAGCCCCAGAACTCCCCTTAAAATCAGCCGAGGCCTCTGTTGCATCTATTTGGCAGCTCTTCCCTCTGCCTGTCCCTGTTTTGCTCACCTCTTTTCCCAAGGGTACTCCCCACTAACCTCCTGCATACACATCTCAGAGTTTCAACATCTGACCTGAGACCCTAAACTGTGAGCATCTGGAAGGCAGGGAGTTTGTTTCTTCAACTGCTTCCATTACACTTTGCACAGAGCATTTGTGGGCATTCAATAAATAAACATTGAATGAATGAATGAACACATGAAAGAATAAGGACTTAATGCTTTCAAATACATAAAAGGCTATCATGTGGAAGAGACATAATTAGATTTACTTAGATTTCTTGTGTTTGGGGCATGAGGGTAGGGGAGGTCAAACTACCTAATGTGTGAAAACTACTAAGAAATAGATTTCATTTCAAAATAAAGAACTTTCTCACAGCCAGCAAGCCAACTACAGCAGCAGTAATTTGTCTGTAAGCAGAAGCTGGGCTAGTCCTTGAAAGAGAGAGTATAGAAAGGAATTGAATGGTGGTTGGAGGGTGAGATCTCTTGTTTACATTCTAAAACTGAAGCCTGTGATTCCTTCTAGATATTCATTTTAATCAAGTGGAAGCATTCAAATGTGTCCCACTGAATTATGTATTCTGGAGAATTACCGTGGCAGCTGGAAAGAGAAATCACTGCTGTTCCTAGAGAAAACAGTCCCCTTGTACATACACAAATACCCACCAAGCAAAGAAATATATGTATTTTTTTAAGATTTTTATTATAATTTTTAAGGTTGTTATTTTTCAAATAATGCTAGCTTATGGAGAATATTTGTAAAATGCAGAAATGTAAAATGAAGAAAATATTAATCACTCATTGTCCCAGGACCTAAGGATAACCACTACTTGGTATGTATCAATCTTTTTTCCTATATATATATACTTTTTTTTGAGAGAGAGAGCATGGGAATAATAGTGGGAGATGGAGAGAGAACCCCAAGCAGGCTCCACAGTCAGCACAGAGTTCCACTTGGGGCTCGATCCCACGATCCTGAGATCATGACCTGAGCTGAAATCAAGAAGTGGATGCTTAACCAACTGAGCCTCCCAGGTGTACTTTTTCCTAAATATTTTTGACATGGCTGATATTTTACTGTTTTTCTCATTTCACATTGTAACAAATTTTCCCAAGCTCTTTATAAATACCTTTTGATGACTGATGTAGCAATAAAAATTTGTGGACTATTCTGGTTGTTTTTCAATTTTTTACAATTGTAACAAATACACTATAGTGAACATTTTTAGGCATAAAACTTTTCTCTACCTATTTGATGTCCCTCATGCAAACTAAAGGTCCATGGACACAACAAAACTTAGCTATAAATGAGGTCATATTAACCACATAAAACAAAATCCCCCTACTCTTTTACTTTCTCCTGACAACACAGACTTCAGCCAACCGTAAATGCTCCAAAGCATATTTTGGAATCTCAGGAGGAGTCTCTCATGTGTTTTGGAACAAGGTGACAACAACTGCACCCTGCCACCACTCCAGAATATCCACTGAGTACCTGCAAGGCAATGCAAGGTAAAACAATCAATGAATTAAGGTTCCCTCCTATTTCCAAGTAGGGGCTTGATGTGGAAGTGGGATACATGCCCAGCTCCTCCTACTGCCTTGTGCCCTTAGATTTCACTGAATTCCTTCTGAAAGGGCTTCAACTTCTGCCTGCAGTTGCTCTCTGTCCAGGGTTCTCAGTCCTGTGCCCAGGTCTAAGCTGGGAAGCATAAATTATATTGTCTTCTCTATGTCTCCCTTCTCTCCACTCAGGGGCATATATGAAAGATTTCCTCAGTTGTTCCCCTGTCTCCATGCCAATAAATCTGCAGCCCTCTAGTTTATCTGACCATCAGAAAGAACCAGACGTTAAATCAAGCTTTAGGATAGATTCTTAGAAATGTAATTACAATGGATGATGGGCATTAAGAGGGCACGTGATATGATGAGCACTGGGTGTTATACACAACTGACAAATTATTGAATACTACCTCTGAAACTAATGATGTACTATATGTTGGCTAATTTAATTTTTTTAATTTTATTTTGTTATGTTAGTCACCATACATCATTAGTTTCTGAGGTAGTGATCCACGATCCATTGTTTTCATATAACACCCAGTGCTCCATGCAGTACGTGCCCTCCTTAAAACCCATCACCGGGCTAACCCATCCCCCCATCCACCTCCCCTCTAAAACCCTGTTTGTTTCTCAGAGTCCATAGTCTCTCATGGTTCATCTCTCCCTCTGATTTTCCCCCCTTCATTTTCCCCTTCCTTCTCCTAATGTCCTCCATGCTATTCCTCATGTTCCACAAATAAGTGAAACCATATGATAATTGACTTTCTCTGCTTGACTTATTTCACTTA